AAATTGCATAGGTCAAATGTTTCAATGCTCCATTGCAACCTTCAGAAATAATGGGGGTTAAGAAAGTGGTGCAAGATCAAATGCCCGAAGGAGTCAACAGTCGTGGCCTTACGTTGACAGGTTTTCTCTTTCTCCATGCATTGTTTATTGAAAAAGGACGCTTGGAGACAACCTGGACTGTACTGTGCAAATATGGATACAACAATGATATCAGACTGAACGAGGATCAACTTCCTCCTCCCATTAAAAGGCATCCAGACCAGGCAAGTTCTCTGTTTTCTCTTCATTGGGCTTGACTTTTTGCTTATGTTATTCTTCGGTTTAGCTTATGCAGTTATGCCTTGTACTCTCTCCATCCCAAATTAATCAACACACTTTCCTTTTTTTGTTGTCCCAAATATATTTACACTTTTTTACTTTCCTAATAAAGTAAAGAATATGTGGTCCACATTTTTTCTGTTTCTTAACAAATTTCAACCACAACTTTTTTACATTTCAACACTTTTCTTAAACAACGTGAAGTCAAATTGTCCAATTGAAACCATGATGGAAGAACTGAGGGAGTAATTTACTATCCTATTGGTATGTTCCTGGCCTAAGAAAGTAATTTCTAAATTTCTTCGGGGTAAATGTTTTTCATCAACAGCCTGATTAGGTCTGACTCGATACCGCTTTTGTATTGTGTCTTCACATAGCCTATATAGTTTGTATTGCATGTATTTTGATACCTTAACATTGCTGAAAATGGCTTTAAACTTGAAATATAAGCATTGTATAATACAGTATACAACAACAACATTAACTCAGTGCCTCAAAGCTTATATTTCAAGTTTCAAGTAATTTCTAAATATCTTCGGGGTAAATGTTTTTCATCAACAGCCTGATAAGGTCTGACTCGATACCGCTTTTATCTCCGTTTTAATTAATAGTTGTATCTGTATTTTAAATATGAGTTTTAAAATGTTTGAAATCTTGATTTCTTTATTTGTTTTGATTGAATTTCTCTCAGGATGGAGCTCTTCAATCCAGTGATCTTGATAATATGTTTTCAGTGGCACCAGAAAAGTAATGTTAATTCTCCTGTCTTTAGGACATAAGAACACACACTACCACCCACTCCACACACATACGCACACTCAGAGGGAAACGGTCTAAAATTGAGGATTGGCTCAGCGCTAAAAGTTTTAAAATTATGCACCTCCTCTTCCCTCTAAACTTAAACTCACACCAACTTCCACTTTATGATCTTTGTATTAGTCCCTGGAATGAAGCTCCATACAAAGATGCGGCTGAGAAGGATGCTTTGGGAGGACTCTCACTTGATGGGTTTAAATCACTGGTGTGTATGATAGATGATTATAATACTATGGGGTGATGATTGATATTCCTGAATGGCAGGTTAATGGTTGATCCACTATTAAAAGTCATTAAAAATTGAGAGTTTGTAACCATATTGAGCAGTACAAAATGGTGAAGAATGTAGGTTTGTTCTACCTGAAATTATGTTGCAGTTCTCATTATAATTGGTGTCAACCTATTATTAATAGTATTAGTAGTTTATTACCCACTCTATCCTAGAAAAAGAGTCCTCATTTCCTTTCAAGGTGGTTCCAAAAAAGTTCATCTCTCTATGAAACGTTGATATCTCTTTTATGCCATTGACTTTTTTCACTATTTCCCTTAATTACCACCCCTCCTCTACCTTGCTTCTCCACTTCTCTGCCATTCAAATGATGGTAATATTGGAAAGTGAAAAACCACTTTTCTTAATCTTCGTGCTGAGTCAACCGAGGACTCTTCTTTCGGACTGAGGGATTATTGTTTAAGAATGTCAAATCATGTTTGCTAGTTATCAATCGATCAATTCCAAATCTGCATGGTCATTAGAATGCGAAAAAGATGTTTCTATTATCAGATAGATATGAGATATTATAGTAGCCAACTAATAGATTATTTATTGAGAAACTTCTATACTTTACAATTCTGACTATTAGTTGCACACAATGCAGTGGAGTAGTCACTCTTCCCAATTTCTAATAGTGACATAAAAATTATTTACATGCTTTTTTATATTATTTTTATTTCACCTATTATTATGATGATTATTAAAAAAATATATAAAAAGAGTAGTAGTGTAACTTGTAAATGTGCATATGAAAAATATATATACAACAATATGGTATATCCAGATTTATAATATAAAAACTCTCAAACACTCAAATGTTATACTTATTCTAATTTGGAAGGACTTAGAAACGCAATAAATTGGAAGAGATTAGAAGAAATTAGAAAGAATTGGGGTGTACATTATTTTAATAAAAAAACATGATATTTAAAGAATATACATAATAATGTTTATTTCAACTCCAATTATTTTAAATACTCCCTCCGTCTCAAAAAGATTTACACGTTTCAAAAAAATTGCATCCCACAATCTCCTACCCATTTCAATTAAAAAACCACTTTTACCCCTTACTTTTTCAAACCCTACTTATTACATCATACCTTTTTTCCTAATAATCTACACATCACATCCTACTTTTAACCATCACATCAAGGGTATTTTTGAAGTATTCCCTGAATTGGTGTGAAGCTAGTTCAATCCATTTCCTAATGAAGTATCTCTAAAGTTGGCCACTTTTGAGTGTGTGTTAGGAGTCTATTTAATACTTTAATAGTGATTATTATTGTATAAAATAGATAACAGCCCCAAATATATATTAAGAGTGTGTTTATCTCTTACATATTGTTTGGTTTATCCCTATTCAAAAATCCCAAAACATTTTCTCTGTTTTTCTTCTGATCCTGATTCTGAACTTCTGAATAATCGATTATCCTTAACTGATAATCGACTATTGTAGTCTGCAGATTCTTCTCCAAAGTACAAAACTTCTCATAATCGATTTTCAATAATTTGATAATCGATTATCGTCATCCTCAGGAAGTATCCAGTTCCGAGTAAATCCTTGTAAATCGATTGTCTTGTAGAGTCAATCGACTTTTGGGTTCCTCAGAACATTCCCAGTTCTGTATCAGATCCTANCATGATAATCGATTATCAGCAGTAGACAATCGATTATCAGCCAGTTCTGAACCCAAGGTCATCATGTTGAACAAATTGTAATCAAACACATATGTATGCGTGGAATTTAACTTCCTTCTTCAATCAATGCATTCATTTCATCATGTTCATCCTAGACGTATGTCCTAGGTTCGTCATCATGTGCATACCGCTGTAGGGAGGTCAGGCTTTCGTGCACTTACTACAGTGAGCCCGTCTAGGAACCTTCGCGATCCAACGGGTTTTCATCAGGTGGGCTTTGTGTACGTACATGGTAGTCAGGTTACGGCTACCACCCGGTTTTTGCTAGTTCACTTGTGACGTTTTGTCGAGCCCGGGTCATTACCGGAGTGCAGGGGTGATCCTGTCAAGTGAGACTAAGTCAGGGGTGTCCCTAATAGCGTAGTCTAACTCATGCATCATATATCATCTAGCATTGCATCGTTTGTAAATAATTATGTAGATCTTAATTATCAAATTGTATGTGGTATTGCAAAACGTACCGCACTTCATATCCAACATCGTCGATGACAAGGCCAAGGTATTTATAATTGGATAATATTCCAAAATGAATCTCCATGATATGTATATGTGTTTCTTGTATCTTGCGCTATCTACTATGCAAGCATGAAAATTATGTGGCTAATGTGATGCGTAGTATTTAAGTATAAATATGTTATCGATCTCTCGTGTTATTGTACCACTCAGCTTTATGCTGAGCGTGTAGTCTTTTTGTCTACACGTAGGTTGAAGCACAGATTATGTGAACCACCCGGAGGACGAAGAGTCGATAGGATGGCAGGTTAACATGCATGATTTTCACAAGTTTTGCATTTGAAGTTTTGGGTTTGACCCACATCATTGTATTTGTATTATTTTTAGTCTTCCGCTATCTCCGACATTTTGTAAAAGGATCGATCCGAATTTAATATGTTATATTTTGAATTTTTGTCTTATGAATTTTATTTAATGATTTGGAAAAGTTTTAAAATATTTCTCCTGTTTCACCTTAATTCCTATAATTCCGGGTTATACGAATTGGGGTGTTACATCAGAAGCGGCTTCTCGAATTGTGTATGCCACATCTTCCAACATCACGTCACTTTCTAGTTTCTCCTTCAACTTTCTCTATCCATCTCTAACCATTCATTTAATTTTTTTATATGGCATATTTTCATTTGTACAAAAAAAATAAGAAAACCTAATAAAAACAATTGACCAATCACTTTTTTTCCCTTTCTAGAGGAATATATTATTCTCCCTCCCCATCTTTCTCCTCTATTCCTCTCTCCCCTCTCATCATTCTTCTCTTCTTTTTCCTCCAGATCATCTTATTCCCCTTTTCACTCCATCTCATTAATGAGGTTCTAAAAGCATCCCCAT